AAACCCATCTGCCCCAAAAACTCCACCACAGGTGTCTTGCCCACCAAGAAAATTGTGAAGCTGATAAGGAGCCCTCCCACAGCACCACAGGCCACAAAGAGACCTCATTGTCCCTCAGCAGAAACTTCATGTAAGAAGTTCAGGCCTGAGGAGAAGCAAGCACAGGGGGTGAAACCCACCTGCCCTGAAAACCCCACCACAGGTGTCTTGCCAACTAAGAAAATTGTGAGCCTGGTAAGAAGACCTGGCTTTTCAATCTCTACAGGTCCACAGGCCACAAAGATACCTCATTGTCTCTCAGCAGAAACTTCATGTAAGAAGTTCAGGCCTGAGGAGGAACAAGCACCAGGGATGAAACCCATCTGCCCCGAAAACCCCACCACAGGTTTCTTGCCCACTAAGAAGATTGTGAAGCTTGTAAGGACACCTGGTTTTTCAATCTCCAGAGGTCCAGAGGCCACAAAGAGACCTTGTTCTCCCCCAGGAGGAACGTCATGTAAGAAGTTCAGGCCTGAGGAGGAACAAGCACCAGGGATGAAACCCATCTGCCCCAAAAACTCCACCACAGGTGTCTTGCCCACTGAGAAGATTGTGAAGCTGGTAAGGAGCCCTCCCACAGCACCACAGGGCACAAAGAGACCTCGTTCTGCCTCACCCTCACCTTTGTCTAAGAAGTTAAAGCTTGAGGAGACAGGAGTAAAAGAGGAGACTGAAAAGTACCCTGCAAGTGTCTCGCCTGGTGATACTTCATCCAAGATTGTGAGCCCACTAAGAACGGACAGAGCTTGCACTGCGGCCAAGACATCTAATATAAATCTGGGATGTCCCTCCCCTCAGACTCTTCCTCCTTATAAGCTGTCCAACCAGCCTAGCGGAGTCTCATGGCTGCGTTCTCTTGCCATCATGCAAAATCACATCAGGTAAAGCACAGATATGACTCATTGAGCACACACAGCACACATGTTGAGATCCATAAAAGGGCAGTGAGACCAGTGGCCTGGTCCAAGGATTTTCACAAAGTGTTGATTTGATTTATACCTCTCTGTTTCTCTTACAGGTCTAATTGATGGAGCATAACTGAACAACACTGCCACTTTCTTGCTCCTCATCAGGAGGAAAAACAACTTTTATCTGCCAGCATGTTTGCTTTTGTATATTTTTGTACAGTTTTGTTATTCAAGTAAGTATGATTTTCTAGAAAATTAATCCTCTGTAACATCCAAGCCCACAAAGCCTCTCCAGCCTCCACAGCTCCACAGGCCACAAAGAGACATCGTTCTCCCTCAGCAGAAACTTGTAAGAAGTTCAGGCCTGAGGAGAAGCAAGCACAAGGGATGAAACCCAAAAGAAGGGTTAGGGTTAGATGCATCTTGCACATTTGATGACATGATTGGTCGAGCGCATATTGCTGGGAGCTTGCAGCTCCTAGCGATGAATAAGTATCAGCTAGTCATTCATTATGTTTCATGCTGTTTTTATGGCATCAAATTTGCTTTTGTATATTTTGTCACATAAAATTATTAACATTATAATTGTGTTCTTATTTTGTAATATTTTAACTGGGTTGATTTGAGCATTCACTTCCCATGCTGGTTAAACCACAGGTGCAGATTTGATGGAACCTAATGTTCAGCAGATCAATGGTATTTTCAAAGATAAAATGATTAAAGGAGAACAGTGCAAGTTCTTGTAGTTAGGACTAAACCTGCATTTTAAACAAATACTTATTTCTCAAGCTAATCTTGTAAACAAACATGATCAGTACCTTACCGACAGCACATGTCCCAACCCCAGTATCTCCCTTGTGAGAAAACAAGTACCCATAATGCACTGCTTGGCATCAAAGGTTATCCTAGAATAGTAAGTCTGCTGCACATGCAAATTATTTGGAAAGATGTAACGTACTGCCCTTGCAGTGCGAAATATTGAGCAGAAGGATTACAATCTCTGAGACTGACCTTAGGAACACCTTGTCTGTCCCATCCTTCACAATCCGCACCTCCACCTTGCTGACCTTCTTGTCACTGCTTGACAAAGCCTTAGCGACCAGTCCCATTGGCCATTTGTTTCTGTGGGCCTGGTTGTCTTTCAGAAGGACAACATCTTCTTCTTTGACATTCTGCTAGGCATTTGTCCACTTCCTGCGGCTCTGTAGAGTAGACAGGTACTCCCCTCTCCATCTCTTCCAAAATGTGTCAGCAAGACACTGAACTTGCTTCCACTGCTTTCTGTACAACTGAGCCATACCAACGTTTCCAGAGGGGGCTACAACCTCATTTTTTGAGTAAGGAGCATCGCTGGGGTGAGTATTGCAGGATTATCTGGGTCAGCGGATATGGACACAAGGGGTCTTGCATTTATGATAGCCATCACCATGAATGTGCTCAAGACTTCATGTGTGAGACGTTTTGGTACTGTCTTAGGCAGCATTGCATCTAGAATGCGTCTGGAGACTCCGATGAGCCTCTCCTAGGAGCCACCCATGTGGGAAGCATGAGGAGGATTGAACACCCAAGAGCATCCCTTCTCCTGGAGCTACATCCTGACTGTCGTGTCATCTGTGTTCATATCCAACTCCTTACAAGCACCCACAAAGTTTGTCCCTTTGTCTGACCGTAGAAGTTTTGCTGGACCACGAATAGAAAAAAGCCTCCTCAGAGCATTGATAAAACTGTCAGTTGACATGGTTTTGACAAGTTCAATATGCACAGCTTTAGTTGACATGCAGATAAAGAGTACAGCCCAGCGTTTGCTCTCCGCACTTCCTCCTCTTGTGCGACGTGTCATAATAGACCATGGTCCAAAGTAGTCGAGGCCAACGTTGGTAAACGGAAGTTCAGGAATAAGTCTGTCTGCGGGGAAGATCTACCATTTTCTGATCCTCCAACTTTCCTTGCAGTTTGCGGCAAGTAACACATTTGTGAATGACGCTTACTCACAATTATCCAGTATCCAGCTGCCCGTATAGCTCCTTACGTAATGTGTCATCCTTGGTGAGCCATTTGCTCATGGAAGTATCTCACAAGTAGTGTGGTAATGTAATGGGTATATGGAATAATCAGTGCTTTTCTTCTTCCGACAGGTCAGCATTAGAAAGACGACCCCCGACACGAAGCAACCATCTTTATCCACAAATGGATTAAGCTTCTTAAGAGTGTTTTGCTTCATACATGTCTGTCTACCTTCAAGACATTTAAATTCCTCCTTGAAGGCTTGGTGTTGGACAGAATGAATGATCGGGACTCTTTCTTTGAAACATTTCCATCCTTTCTTTTCTCCACTGTCTGTCTTTCTTATAAAGAATGCTGCAACATGAATGAGTCTGGCTATGGTTCGATAGAGTGTTCTCCAGCTCGAGCATCGCTCAAAGTGTGGGGCCAGCTGGGACTCTGATGCTTTGGTTGCTAGAGTAGTAACCTCAGGACGAATCTCATCATCAGCTTCAGGATTCATGAGGGTGAAGAGATTGGTTGCAGGTGCCTCTAATGCTTTGTCACAATACAGGAAAGCTGGGCCCAAGAACCAGTTGCTGTGTTGAAGTTTGGCTGCTGGTAAAAACCTGGTTGCATGGTCCGCAGGGTTCAGGTCTGTTGGCACATAGTACCGCTAGTCGGGGTGTGTGGATCCTCTAATCCGAATTACCCAGTTGGAAACGTATATGTAGAACCTTCTTGTGGAGTTGTGTACATACCCAAGCACAATCCTACTGTCTGTGTAAAACTTAACACCGTCCACCTCAATGTCGATCTCATCTCTGATCAGTTCATATACAGTAGTTCAACAGCCAGCACAGCTGCACCGAGCTCCAGACGTGGAATGGTGTGGGCAGTACGAGGGGCCAATTTTGACTTCCCCATGACAAATCCAAAATGATACCTTCCCTCGGAGTCAATAGCTCTCAAGTAGGTCACAGCCCCTATAGCTACTGTGGAGGCATCTGAAAAGATGCACAGCTCTTTTCTTTGTGTTAGAGACAGTGAGACTGGAATGTAGCATCTCTGTATGTGCAGGTCTTCAAGAGCATTCAAAGAGTCCTTCCATAGGTTCCACTCTGTCTCCTTTTTTGAGGGAAGAGGAGAATCCCACTCACTCTGTTCCGATGACAGTTCTCAGACTAGTGCCTTCTCTTGTATTATTATAGGAGATACAAAGCCTAAGGGGTCATATTAGCTGTTGACTGTTGACAGGACCTCTTTGTGTGAATGGCTTCTCTTCACAAGACACCAGGTAAGTAAAGCTGTCTGTTTCTAAGTTCCAGGAAAGCCCCAGGCTCCTCTGAAGAGGGAGAGGATCCACTCTAAGGTCCAAATCCTTCAGATCCTTTGCACGGTCCTCTGTTGGAAAGGCTTCCATCACCTGACTACTGTTTGATGCCACTTTGTGCAGTCACAGGTTGGATTCTGCTAGCATCTCTCTGGTTCGTGTGAGGAGATCTATCGCCTCCTCAGGTATGGCAAACGATGCAAGACCGTTGTCAATGTAAAACTGTCTTGCGTCGGAAACGTGTTCTTGTTCACCTTCTTTAGCTGCTCGTCTCATACAGTAGATAGCTACAGCAGGTGAAGCGCTGTTTCCAAATACATGGACTTTCATCCTTTAATCGACCACATCCTTTCTGATGTCATTGTCCTCATACCAGAGGTATCGGAGAAAATCTCTGTGATCTTCTTGGACCACAAAGCAATGAAACATTTGCTCCACATCTGCTGTAAGGGCTATGTGTTCTTTGTGGAACCTTAGAAGAACTCCCAGCAGGGTGTTGTTCAAGTCTGGTCCATTTAGGAGCACATCATTGAGAGACATTCGATCACATCCAGCACTTGAATCGAACACAACCCATTTTCATGCTCGAACAGAGCACTTACTTTGTTTTAAACTTAACACACTTTTTAACTAACTTATTCGTTTAATTTTACCACTATCAGTAGTCAGCACATGTAATATAAAGAATGAAGGTGCTAATCTGGTAATAGTGATCAATATGAAGCATTAAATATGCTGGAGGGTGTAGTGGATCCATCTGCAGAAAAGGATTGTTCATAATTATGTTTTCATTGAAGTGTAATCACCTGAAAACAGTTGTAAAGATGTTTGAGGTATGTTAATATTGCACTGCTCCCCCATAGAAGGATGCATGATGATAAAGCAGGCCAGAAAAAAGATTTGAGCACACATTATTTGGTGATCGTGCTGCTTTCTTAGCTTGCCATGCATGTGCTTGACCAATTATCAGTCAGTCTCTGCTGTCAATCATGACGGTGATTAGCATCAACCACTTAAAACCAAACTTCCTGGGAAAATGAACACTTGAACATACAACAGATTGAAAGAATTGCATTAAATGACAGAAACATTGATTTGGTGTGCACTTTGACCTTTTAGTTTTAGTTGTCCATATCCCACACATTAACATGGAGGAGGTGGGGTTTGTGACCTGTACTTCAGCCAGCCACCCGGTGACGATCGACACATATGCTTCACTTTTGGGGAGCAGTCATGTCGTCTGGTGTTACAGAGCTGACAGTGTAGAGTCGGCTGAGATTGGACACTGCAGACTCACTGTCTCTAAGTGATATAAAGACAACAAAAAGAAGGCTAATATTTATTATTTATTAAAACCTTCATTTACTACTTTACTAACTACTGCTTTTATTGTTGTTAAAGTAAAGTAAATTAACACCTCAACACCTCAACACGTGTACATTTGCTTTGTGACCGGCCTTCCCGCTACTATTCTGTTCAAAACATCATCTCCCACAATTCTCTGCGCGTAAAAGACGGTGACGTCAGAGGATGGCGACGCTTCGACACCGGGCGTCTTCGAAGATTCAGCTGAACATCTCCTCCACAGGTTGTTTGGTCACTTTGTAAAACCCTTTAACGAGTGTTTCCATATTAAGAGCTTCTGTGAGTGGCCACTTGAAGTCACGTCGACCGAACCGCTGCGTCACATCTGGACAAACTTGCTATTAGCACCATTAGCTTACACGCACGTTAGTAGCATGAGAGCTAATCACACTCGTGTTTATGTTTTGTTCTTGCGCTGTTTGCTTATAACCCTGATTGTACATTGAAGTGTTAGTTATTGTTATATAGTTATTGCGTATGTCAGACCTGGTAACTACCTTTTAATCTGTATTCACTTGCACACATAAGATATTAGGGCTGGACGAAATGACCCACATTGTTATCGATTTGAAAATATATGAATTTAATAATAGTTGAATGAATGTCACATTATTATTTCTTTTAAACACTTATTTTACCCGTGAGTCAAGGTTTTATTAGGTTAACTATGTATTAATGATCCTATTTATGAGCAGAGAATGACACTCGATAAACATCAAAACATTTTGTAAATCTGAGGTAGTTCAATAATGTTAATAACAGTAATACTAGTTCAATAATAACACCCACTCACTGTACAATGCATGAGCTTTATATCAATATATATTTAACCTTTGTGATAATTATTGATAATCTATAATAGATAGATAGAATAGAAAATGGTATTTTAGCTGATTATTGACCCCATCAGTATTTGTAACCAATCAGCTCAGTAAAAATTATTGAATGTTTTTGTAAAGGTTATTTCAGATATAACACATAAAATGCAAAGTTTGTGAATACGATAGTCAAGCAAGGGAGCACCTCTATTCACTCATAATTTCACTCAAGTAGAAATGAATGCATTACGTAAGTGTAATGTAACATTTAGTAAAAAAAAGTATCGATTTCATTCAGCTCTACTTGTCCCTTTTGACCAGCTGTTATGTTATAGTACAGAATCATATGAATTATCAATAATATTAATACAGTTTATTTACATAGCACTTTTCAAACAAAGTTAGAAAGTGCTTTACAAGAGAAAATGATGAAAACAATTTAAGAAAACAAAAACAGTTTAAATGTCAAGCGATCATTGATCAAAAGAAATCAAACATGAGAAAGAAAAAGATTTTAACAGATCGAATTGCCGTAGCATTAACAAAAAATAACCTAATTTCTACTTTCCTCTACAGACCTCGTACGACAACGTTCAGTTCAAGAGGAGTAAGGATGCACCGACTGTATGTCCTGCTTTGGACTCGGTTTCATTGACAGTCCTGTCTACCACGAGACAATATGCCCTATCACTGTGTGGCCTATGGATGTGGCAAAACTGCAGAAGATGGTGTGACCTTGTTTAAATTCCCCAAGGACTCTGAAGAGTTTCGCAAATGGGAGAAACAGGTCCAGCGCACCCGCTCCAAGTGGGTCGCCACACCCAACTCTCACCTCTGCAGTCAGCATTTTGGCAAGGAGTACTTTGAGCCCAGACCTGCTACCGGGACTCTCAAGCTGAAGCCGGGAGCTGCTCCTACAGTGTTTGTACGTCCACTCTGTTCCTCCTGCAGTGGAGCTGGGTGTGGTAAATGCCTGCCTGCTATCCAACGCAAAGGCATTACAGCTGAGCCACGAGAGCACAAAATAAGTGTGAGTAATTATTAATGTGGAGCAGTAAAGGTCACTGCAGGCAAAGGGAGTTCCTTCCTCTAAGAGTTGATCTAAAATCTGTCACTTTCATGCTCACTATAAACCCCTTTGTTTCTGTCTTCACAGGCCGAACACAATGAATTAGCTCCCAGGTCTAACGATGCTGGTGAAGGAGGTGACAAAGGAAATCTGACAGGAGGAGCGATGAAGCCAGGAGACCAAAGCGGAGACGACCGACCAGGTGAGGTGCAAAAAAAGGGTTTCGTAACACAAATTGTAATTTTTCTGTCTGGTAATGTAATTTGCTCTTCTGAGTCTTCAGTCGCGCTCTAATGGGTGACACAGACTAGGGAATCAAACATTTTCCAACACAGACATATTGTTCGATATACAGATTACAACAGGCAAACAAACACTACTGACCAACTGAAAATCTGTTGGGTTCATAGTATTCTCGAGGAGCTGTTAATTAAGTTAGTTAATGTTTAATACAATATCTGTTTACCTTTACAGTTGTGTGTGAGATGTGTGGCATCCCCGGCACCTTTAGCGCCTTCTTCTCGAAGAGCAAGCGTTTCTGCAGTATATCCTGTTCACGCTCTTATTCATCAAACTCAAAGAAGTCTTCGATACTGGCACGTCTGAAGGTGAGGAAAAGCTGCCCACAGAATAAACTTGTTTGTCAATATGTTCTGTTTGTGGCATTTTCTAAATACAAAAGCAGTGTTTTTATTCAAAAATGTGCGGAGAATATCTGCTGCTTTTGCAAAGACATCTTGTGGATTGTAACATAAGACAAAGAGCTGAAGACATAGAGGCTGGAACTGGAAAAGAACTCCAACTATTTAACGATCAACAAGCTTTTTTGTATCACTGACTGGATGTTTGAGCTGTAGTTGAAGCTGTACATTGTTATGGCGCATACAGAAACAACGCTAAAATATCTCTGGTGAAAATGCTGCCATCTTGCCCATTTGGAGCCAGTGTCTGCACAGTAGCGATCAGGGAATGAAGCTGTGTTAGTGAAGACCTGTCAAAACACAGGCTGGAGCAATCACAAGTCAGTCTCTGCTGTCAAGCACAACTTTTCAAGTTTTTATAGCATCAAATAAAATGCCTCCATACAGCTCCTGTGATGTCATCCAGGTGTCCGTAAGCCCTGGCATTCAAATTCAACTTGAAAAACCATGTTTTAAGCCTAAACGTCTCTACTGGAACCAGCAAACGTGAACGCAGCTCAAGACGAGAATATCGGAGGAGATTTAGGCTAAAAACACAATGTGAATGATGCCTTTTCGAGTCGAATTTATCTAATATCTCCACTTCCATGGCTGTGTGCCCAAATGAAGGTCAAACAAAATCTATTTAAGTGTTATAAGGTAAAAAAAAGAATTCATATAAATTCATATTCATAGAAAAAGAACTATGAATATATATATTATATATAGTGTGTGTAAGCAAACAGCTGTTTTAGATTATTATTAATATAATTTCCACAAACGTTTTTTAGAAGACAGACATGTTTTGGAGGCCATAATGTCATCTAGCTTTGTATAAACGCAATTTGTAGTTCCGGACACGTGGGGGCAGTATTTCGCAGGTATTGGTTTACGTTCAGATTATAAGAAGCGATGGAGCGCGCCTGACTTGAAACCCCATCACCTGTGGATCCCTGCGCTCATTTACTTGAACCTCTTGTGGACCCCAACCCGCCGCGATGGTTCTCAGGTGTTGCGTGGATTCCTGCGGGAACACGAAGCGACCCGGCCTCGTCTTCCACTGCTTCCCCCTCGGCGACCCGAGGAGGCTGGAGCTGTGGCTGTCTGCCCTCCACATGGACGTGAGCACCCCGCTGCACGCCCTCGTCAAGATGCACGTGTGCCAGGCCCACTTCGACCCCGACGACTACCACGACACCGTGGATCGGACCAGCCGACGGGCCAGGCTGCTCAAGATCGCCGCCGTCCCCACCGCGTCCAGGCGCCTGCATGTCTCAGACACAGGTGACTCCGCTCCACGTGGTGCCATGAACCTGGATCACCTGGTGAGCGCGTTGCACGGTTTGATCACGGAGGTTTTTCACGAGTCCGGTTGTGGCAACTTGCAGCCACAGTTTTTAATTTGTTGAAGGTTTTGAACTGAGCTGTGTTCAGTTTGTAAAAGTAAACACAGAAAATGACATGTCTTTAAATGTAACATGTTTTGTTTATGATCATCCTGTCTTGCTTTGTTTTTTTATTTTACCCATTGTCTTAGTTCTTAATGATAATAACCAATACATATAAGCTCAGGAGTGTGTCTGTTGTCACTTGCTGTTAAGACTGGGAATGTATGACTGTATATTCTGTTGTTATATATAGGAGTTTGATCTCTGACAAAAGTTCCATCTGTTTTGCCATTTTTACTCTTTTAATAATGATTTCCAACAATGAATTGAGAACCAGTCAAAGCATTGTGTGTAGGAATCTTCTTACCACGGGTGGCTTCATTGCCTTTCTAATGTTTATTTATCTAGAGTTTAAAACAATTGATCAGATTCCTAAAAGATTTCACTCTGGATCACAGTTATTGTATCTGGACTTAAATAATCCTCCATAGTGTAAAGATTCTTTGAAAACAATAGTCTGATGGCTGTTGGCACTGATTGTTTCAGTTGATGAGTGGACACAACAAGACAACTTACAATTTTCTTTGTTTTCTTTTTGTGCTCCTCTCCAGGGTAAGCCCCCCTCCAAAAAAGCTACTGTGCTAAGAAAGGCAAGCAAAGTCCCTTCAACCCCGACAGGACCGACTGGTAACATATCTCTCTCACACACACACACACACACACACACACACACACACACACACACACACACACACAGGCATGCAAAACAAGGATTCTTTTTCATTTTCATATTCACATTAAAAAAATAGGACAAGATGGTGAAAATCCCTTATACAACTTCCTCTTAAGTAGATTTATGATACATTGCGGTCACCAGCAGATGTGGTTGACCACCAGTGGAGGTTAGGGAAGTTAGTCAGAACACACATCAGTTGTGTTCCTGTCAGACTTGACTGCAGCTTTTGATTAGATTAGAAAAAATGTTGCTTCACTTGTATGATTCATCTTCTCTTTCCACAATGGACCATCAGGTTTTGATTGGGGCAACTACTTGGAGAAGGAAACATCCCTGGCTGCGTCGGTCTCCTGCTTCAGACATGTGAGTCCTCTGCACAAACTATTCACTTTACTCACAGATGAGAATTGTTCAGGCTTTTGTCTCTAATATTGGTGGTTTACATAATGTACAACATGCTGAATAAATGACTTTATTTCTATCCAAGTATCAAATATAGTTCTAATTTGATTTATATATCACCCTCATACACCGAGGCAAATTATTATTAATTGTTTTCTACTAAATATCATTTTCAGCAGGAGTGGAGACTGTTAAATAAAATAAACAACTTTGTAAAAAAACAAAGTTCCTGAATGTGAGGCAGATTTGTTTCATTATTTTAACAATGTATAGTTCCACATACGATTTGGAGCCGGTAACATTATAGGATTCACATGCACCTATGGGAGGAGGTTAATGTGGCTGACACCTGATTTTGTATTAAATCCCCTGCACTTCCAAAAGAATCGATTAAACATAAGAAATAAGTTGTTTGTGTTGCTGAGGATAAAATTCCTGTAAAATAGTGAATGTGCAGCGTGTGAAACGTTGATGATCTGTGATGAAATATCCGCCCGTCTGCTCTGCAGGTTCCACTCTGTGCCCAGTGGGACGACGTCATCTTAGGGATGAAGGTGGAAGTTCTGAACAGCAACGCTGTCCTGCCCAGTAAAGTCTACTGGATCGCTACTGTTATCCAGATTGCAGGTGTGTACATCAGTTATTTCAACAGGCCATCACACCATTCAACCATTCTTTAAAATAATCTCTATAATGGTAAGTGTAATCGTACTCCTCCTCTTCCACCCCTTCAGGATACAAAGCTCTGTTGAGATACGAAGGCTTTGAGCACGACAGCAGCCATGATTTCTGGTGTAGCCTCGTTTCAGGCGAGCTGAAGCCAATTGGGTGGTGCGCCATGACGAGCAAGCTGCTGGTGCCACCTCAAGGTAAGGATTCACTCAAATCTGACCCACACTGCCATATCAACACAGAACCTACCGCTCTGCTTGGACCAACACTTAACGGGGACCTATTATGCTTTTTGTTCTTATTTCCAGAGGTAAATATAATATTACAGTGTTGTATTGTCATCGTAAATATGGTCAGAGTTTAAAAAAAAAGTCTAAATGCATATTAGAGAAATCCCTGTAAGCCATAGGGACCAGGGCTTCTCTTTTCCAAAGTTTTTTTGCGTTTTTTTGCCTTGGACATCCATACACACAGTGGGCCATTAGGGATTACTGTGCAACAGCGCCCTCTGCAGCCACATGTGGTAATCAATTCTGTTGAACCCCGTGTCCAAGCATATAAGTGGTTTTCATGAAAAGACTAAATAAAGCCCATCAATCTCTGACGGCGTAGTCCCGCTCTCTGAACTGAAACACAATTGAGCGGTGGATATTACCCATGATCCCAAGCTTCCTGAACCAGAAGAGCTGTAACAAATGCAACAAACCATGTTTGGAATTCTTCCTATTTTAAAAGGCAAGTCAGTTTTATGTATATAGCACCTTTTATACACAGAGATAGATTCAAGGTGCTGTACAGGAACATTCAAAAAACAACACAGTGACAAATTAAACCATTTTCAATCA